CCAGTCAGCATTTCTGCTACACTGGCGAGACAGCCGTGGATGTAGCACTTTTCCTCTTCCCAGAATTCTCATTGCCACGCTTCTACTTCCTGCATGGTTGCTGTCGCCTCACCTATACATCCTGCCTGGCTACTGGCCAATCCGCATTTTATTAAAAATAATACAAGTGATAGGATAAAAGACCACTGTCCTACAACACAGGAACAAAACTCTCCATATGTTCCAGAGGAGATGATCGGAACCCAGCCTTAGCGGGCTAAAGGTCACACTCAGGAAACTGCTGATTGTGTGTGGGGTGTGAAACATCTGGATTCATAGTTCACAATTTCCAACATTTGCCACCAAAATACTCTAAGAAATTTGAGTTTACAATAAATAAACCGAGTAAAGACAGACTTGAATAGAATATGGGTATGTCCGATCCATGGGCCCTCTGTCATTGCCAAGGGCTGACTTCCTGTTTTACACAATCATCCTCATTCAAAGTCACCCTAAATAGTAAAGTTCTGTCTATAATGGACCTGGCAAACAAGACACTGCGGATGAAAACCAAGATCCTGCTCCCGCTCCAGTAAAACCCAACCATGGGAAATGTGAAAAGACATCATTTCTGATGGATGCTGTTTTTAATGCAGAAGGAGCTCACACACTGATGCAGCCACCATGGGACACAGCATCCAGCCATGGCTCTGAAGCTTAGGACAAGTGATAGCATGAGGATTGTCTGTGGAGTGCAGGTGGAGCTGAGATCTTCAGTGGAACAAGGGTGGGGCATCTATGTGTTTCCCCGAGGCAGCCGAGCTGTCAGGAGGGGTTCATGTGGTTGTGCTCATGATAAGTCATTGCTGTCCTCTTCTCCTCAGCCGCTGTTTGTGCCCACATGAGATGAATGAGAACAGTGGACTCCACACTAGTTCCAACTTAAGGAACACCCTTCTCTCTGAAAGTGGTGTTGGGATCGCAGCCAACAGTATCCTTCTTCTCTTCCACATCCTCAAGTTCTTTTGTGGGCACAGGCCCAAACCCACTGACCTGTCCATTGGTCTCTTGGCCCTAATCCACCTACTGATGCTACTGATCATGGCATTCACAGTTACAGACATTTTTATTTCTTGGCAGGGATGGGATGACATCATATGTAAATTCCTTCTCTACTTGCACAGAGTTTTTAGGGGTGTCTCCCTGTGTACCACCAGCCTGTTGAGTGTCCTTCAGGCTATCATCCTAAGTCCCAGAAGTTCCTGTTTGGCAAAGTTCAAGCATAAATCTCCCTATCACATCTCATGTGCCCTTCTTCTCCTGAGTATTTTTTATATGTTCATCAGCAGTCACCTCTTAGTGTACATTATCGTCACACCCAACTTGACCTTGAATAACTTTATGTTTGTTACTCAGTCCTGCTCTATTCTACCCATGAGTTATCTCATGCAAAGTACATTTTCTACACTGCTGGCACTCAGGGAAGCCTTTTTTATTAGTCTCATGGCCCTCTCCAGCGGGTACATGCTGACTCTCCTGTGCAGGCATAAGAAGCTGTCCCAGCATCTTCACAGCACTAGACTTTCTCCAAAAGCATCTCCAGAGATAAGGGCCACCTGGTCCATCCTGCTGCTCTTGAGTGTCTTTGTGATGACGTCCATCATGGACAGCATTGTCTCCTGCTCAAGAACTATGTTCCTGGATGATCCAACATTTTACTGCATCCAACTCTTAGTGGGCCATAGCTATGCCACTTTCAGTCCTTTTGTGTTTATGAGTACTAAAATATATAAAGGTAACTTGTTGAGGTCTATGTGTGAGGGTGATAAATGTCTGAATATTCATTGATGGGTAAGTTCCTTTAAGAAGAGCCAATGTGCTAGCATTAGAGCTGTCAATCATGGCATAGTGTATATGTGCTTTGGTGTACATGAAAATATGAAGTTGTGTTTTTTCTCTTAAAATTATTTACTTTAACACATGTAGTGGCAAACATGTAACAAAAAATTAAACCACATTGTCTATGAGATATGATAAGGAATACATGCCCACATGCTCTCTCTCCCTCCCCCCCCCTCTCTCTCTCTCTCTCTCACACACACACACACACACACACACACACACATCAGTGAGTCTTTAAGGGAGTCCTGTGAGGTGGCTCTTACACATCATGGCCTGGGATAGCCCACATAACTTTTAAGTATGTGACTACTTTTAACACCTTTCAATATTTCATCTTTCTCTCTTATATGTATTTTTACAAATTAAGAAGAAAATGTTTCTTGTCATAAATAGTCATATGATCCAAAAGAAAAGGAATTGCATAGCTTTCAAAACAGAACTATGTACAAGGAACCACGCTGTTGTAAAATATTATTTTAACTAGGAAAAGACATGTTACATTTGTTTACACTGCCAGTCAGCCAGACACAGAAACAATAAAAAGTAAGTCATACAGAAGTCAGAAACATAATCTCTGAGGAAAAAGGTAGATAAAGAGATACAGGTTAATTTAAGTTAAAAGAGTTAGCCAGAAAAGAGTTAAGGCCAAGTGTTCAAAACTAATACAAAGTCTCTTTGTCATGATTTGGGAGCTGGTTGGTGGCCCCAAAGAAAAAGTTTGGTACATTTAGTATTCCAATGTTAGGGTCCATATTTCCACATAGAGCCTGAGATAGCTGTAAAATGGATATGGCTCCTTTAAGAGACTCTGCCATACCAGTACTCTCAGAAGAAACCAAAAGGTAAGTAAAAATGCTTGTCAGAACGCAGAGTACCCATTTGCTAGAGCTGGGGGATTAAATGCAGTTTCTGGTTACACACCTCTGGACCTGGCCTGTGAGCTTAAAGGGGCAGAGCCAGCCACCAAAGCTGCAGCAGAGGACTCAATGGTAACTTCACAGTTTTTTTGGTTATGCAGACAGAAAAGGCTAGAAATTTGCAACAAAGACAGTTAAAATCTGTGCTTTAAGATGTGCATAGGTTTAAGAAAGGAAAGAAAATGGGTATAGACAGTCATAGAAAAAATTAAATAGTTTCTAAATAATAAAAAAAGAATAAGCCACATAGAGATGGGAAATACACAGGGATTCAATCTTGTATGTTGTTGTTGTATTGAATTAAATTTTTTGAATGCTGATGAGTGAAGAACAGCTGCTGGAGACATGGGATTGTGAAAGTGATGCTGAATTAAACCAGTTTAGATTCTTTATGGATGCCTTCACTTTAAAATGGAAGTCAAACAATGTATTGCTTGGGGGAAGAGGTTATGCTTTTGTTTCCACAGGAAATGAAAGGATATGAATTTGATCAAGGTTAATAGATATCAGGTTTGATCAGGGAAGAGACAGGTGATGTATATTTTACCTGCTCAAACATAAAGCAAATCATTTTTGGCTGACTTATGTACAATGTACAGTCTATACTTGTGTTAATGCAGATAAGTGTGTTACCTTTGAAAGTCTGTGTGTTTTCAGAGAAAGGGGATTAGACATCAATGAAAATAGGTTACCTAGGTAATTCAGCCTCTCAGAATGCCTCTGTTGTAGTTTCCTCAGCATTCTGAATCCAGAACAGCTTCAAGGCTGCTGGATGAGATGATCCAGCCTCACAGACTGTTCCAGCCAGAATCACAGATAAGCCTTATGCTTTCCCATTGCAGAGAGACTGGACCACAAATGTTAAGGCTAGTTTTCCAAGGACTTGGCCATCATTTCAGTTTTTTCAAGTTGTCTAAAGATGTCATTGTCCTCAGACAACAAAAAGCAGTCTAGAAAATGAAATGCCTACATTTCTAAGAGGTGGGGTGGCTAATCTTTGATTATTGGATGGGTTTACCATCATGTAATAGGAATATAAGAATATAGGATAAAAGACAAATATTAACCTCAAATATTTTATATTGGTATGGATTTTGATATAGTGATACAAATTTAGGGTTATTTTTGTTGTACTATATAGATGTTTATACTCTTGTGTAGGGTGTTGAGTTTATATAGTTTATTTAAAATGCAATGTATAATTATGAGATGCAGGTTATCAGTCATCTATAATAATCAAATTGTATATTAGGTATGTTTTCAAGATAAAACAGATATATCTTACTTTTTATTTTTTTGTTTTTATCTTTTTATATTGTACATTTTTATCCACTTCCCTTCCCTCAACCCTTTTCCCCTTCCTCCCTCCCTACTGACCCCTATTTCCCCAATTTGTTTAGGAGATCTTGTCTTTTTTTCTTCTTCCTAGGCAGATTCATGCATGTCTCTCTCTCTCAGGTTCCTCTTTGTTCCCTAGGTTCTCTGGGGCTGTGGCCCGTAGGCTGGCTGTCCTTTGTTTTATGTCTAATATCTAATTATGAGTGAGTACATGTTATATTTGTCTTTCTGAGTTTTGGTTATTTCACCTGGGATGGCTTTTTCTAGTTCTGTCCATTTGCCTGTAAATTTAAAGATATTGTTTTTTATAGCTGAATAACACTTCATTGTGTAAATGTACCACATTTTCCTTACCCACTCTTTGGTTGAGGGGCATTTAGGATGTTTCCAGGTTCTGGTTGTTACAAACAATGCTGTTATGAACATAGCTGAGCAAATGTCCTTGTGGTATGAATATGCAACATTTGGGTATATTTCCAAAAGTGGTATTGCTGGGTCTTGAGGTAGATTGATTCCCAGTTTTCTGAGAAACCGCCATACTGATTTCCAAAGTGGCTGCATATTTTTGCACTCCCACCAGCCATGGAGGAGTGTTTCTCTTACATCCTCTCCAGCATAAGCTGTTATCAGAGTTTTTACCTTGGCCATTCTGGCAGGCGTTAGATGGTATCTCATAGTTGTTTTGATTTTCATTTCTCTGATGACTAAGGATGTTGAGCATTTTCTTATGTGTCTCAAAAGACAACTTACAAAATGTGGAAAAATGAGGGTCACAATTGAGACTCAACAAGGTGTTTAAAGTGCCAATTTCTTCTTCTAATAATAAATCTGTTTGTTTGGGTGGGCAATGAAGGGGATTATACACATTACCTATCATGGATTAGTCTTTCCTTGATGGAACAGGCTGATCCATGGCCAAGGGCACATCTCTTACTGGGCCCCATATTGTCATTGTGGCAGTCTGAGGAAAAACACAAGCATACCCACACCCATGAGTTAGCAGGAGGGCTGGTGTCTGCCATTGGAGGATGATGGGATCTTTTCATCTCATTAGGGGTAGGGGTGTGTTCCTTGGCAGAGATGCCTAGAGCATGTAGGCCAGGCTGAGACCCTTGTCATCAAAACTAAAAAAGTTCATATGGAAAAGGACCTTTGTTAAGGCCAGATGAGAATCCCTCATAGCCTGTGGTGAGAGAGTCCTGTTCAACATCTCCTTAAGAACTCTGTTGTTCCTCTCCACAATGTCTTGTCCCCAAGGATTGCAGGGGATGCCAGTCATGTGGGAAATCTTCTAGGACCCCAGAAAGTCATTGAATTGTTGAGAGGCAGAGGCAAGGCCATTGTTTGGATTACCAGATCCTCCTCTTACTGGTGGGGCTAAGGAGCACCCCACCTGGAGTTTTAAGGGGCTGGTGCTTTGGCAGGCTGTGATCTCAATCCTTTGCCAATGAAATCCCTTTTTGCATCTGGGGAACTGGGTCATGGGTCTTGCCTGGGGGCAGTCGCACTGCAGATGGCCTGGTTTGTCGTATTCCAGCAAGATCTATTTACAAGCACTCAGGTGTGTTGTTGGTGCACTGCCTGTCTGCAAGTAGGACATCCAGAGAAGTGGTGAAGATCTCTTGTGGCCAGTACCTATTTGTGAATGTCCTCACTGTGGACCTCTGCAACCGCATTGTGTTCTAGGCATTAATCCCTTCCCAAGCCAATGGTTTGATTAACATTTCCCTAGTGGGGCCCAGGTCTACTCTCTACTCCTCATTGACATGTGTGAGAAAATCAGTAGAAAGTTCCCCTGGCTGTTGAGTAAGAATGTGAAAGTAAGATGAAGGGTCCTGCAGAGTGCATGTCTTAAGAGCTTTGAAAGCCAGGTCAGAAACCTGTTGCTAGTTGGCTTGATGGTCCATCTGTGCCTGATGGATGGGATGTACAAAGTTACTTCATCCAATGTGCATGGCAAGGGTCACTGGAACATCAGTTAAGAGGTTCATTAGGGGCACTTTGTCCCAGGTTGAGCAGAAAGGCTTCTGCCGGATATTGAGGTCTGAGATCGGGGAGTCTGAAGCAACTGGGGATCATACCACACCGTGAAGGATTTTCTGCCTTCAGGGGCAGGTGGACATTGAGGCACTTCATTCCAAGGGTACCACAGCGGGGGTGTAGGCTCCCATGGCAGGAGTGGAACTGACAGGGAAGTGGCTCGTGTGGTTTTAACTGTGGTCATACTCTCCTCAGCAGGTTTTGACTGAGCTGTCTGCCTCCTCATTATTGAATGCTGTGGAGAGATCAGACAGATTGAGAGGTTACCCATTTTGTAGAGGGACATAGCAGGTGGGAAATAAGCCAGAGAGAAGATGGTAGTCAAAAGGGGTGGAAAATTATATAAGATCTTCATGTCTCATGCTCGTTCAGTCCCAGTCCAGCTAGCCTTGATGAGCTCCCATTAGATCAGTCCCACCATCTTCGTGGGTGGACGCACCCCTCATGGTCCTGACTTCCTTGCTCAAGATCTCCCTCCTTCTGCTCTTCATTTGGACTTTGGGAGCTCAGTCCAGTGCTCCAATGTGGGTCTCTGTCTCTATCTCCATCCATCACCAGATGAAGGTTCTATGGTGATATTCGAGATATTCATCAGTGTGGCTATGGAATAAGGCCAGTTCAGGCAGAATATGAGGTGAGTGTAAGTTGTTG